AACACTTGATCTATCTATCTTCCCTTGTTTATGCATGCATTTGCACATTGCACAACATACTTTGTAATGTAACAAGTGAATTTTTCTGTCCGATCTTCAATTTGGATAATGCATTACAATTTTAATTGAAAACTTTATGGTGTTAAGATAACGTGATGTGTAAAGAAACGCGAATATTGTTTGCTTTATCGCGTAATCTTTCATTGGCACGGCATTTAAATGCTTCGATTCTCAAACATGTACTTCCAATCGGAATATAACAATATTATGATTATTGAGTTGAGTTAGTATAACATTTTCAATTCATCCGTTAGCTAATAACGAATGAGAAATATAAATTAATATGATATTGCAACGATTTTTGTAATTTGAGCCCACAGACATATTTTTACCAATAAAGCGTTTACAATGCGCCTTTATCTTATCTCCTTTATTCTTCCATTCATCTTCTACGTTAAACAACATGCAGCCGCGAGTATTTCCACCAGAGCATACAATTTTATCATCTAATTACATCTTGCTTAATAAATAAAAAAGCTTTTTAATATCCTTCGTCACGAAATACTCGTTCGACACAATTTTTTTCGCGGTTATCCATCAGGCGATTGTCGCGGACATATCTGTTCCAATGATAAACACGCGAATAATTGCAGCGGCGAGACTAACAAGTTTGCATGGGGTGGTTGATTGTACATCGAAGGCCGACATCGCGGGGACACCTAACGAAGCCCAACTCTCTCGGCTCGGTGTATCTCGCGTGAAAGACGAAGTGTTCTGCCGGTGCCCAAGAAGATCGCACGAGCGCCGGCGATTTAATGACGTCGCGAGGATCGGCAACGCATCGCCACTACGCTGCACTTAGAACCCTGAAGTCTTTATTGAGACAGACACAGAGAGAGAGAGAGAGAGAGAGAGAGAGAGAGAGAGAGAGAGAGAGGGAGAGAGAGAGAGGGAGAAAAGATTTTTGCGCAACTCATTACCTCACGCTTGACTATACAATAGGCACCCTGAACGGGCGGTTCTCTCCTGCTATTTGCGGCTCTCAGAAGGATGCGGGTAAATAAACAACCGACCGATTTATCCAAGGGTTTATAATATTTTTCTCTCTCCTTCTATTCAACGATTTATTTTCCCTTTATACTCTCGTTATGGTCTTGTCCTCCGATAATTAAAATTGTCCGTATAAATATCGCATTGTACGTACAGCGCTTTTTTTCAACACGTGTATGTCGTTTAAAGTACGCTGCTCCAATGGCAACTGATACCGGAGATTTTTATTTTCGAATTGAAAATTTAATCAATCATTAGCAACAATTGGAGAATATGAAATTTCTAGTCAAACGATATAATGCCGATGACTATAAGGGATTTTATTTAAAAATAATCCAATTACTTAAATAACTTATTTCATCAATTAAAGCATTAAAATATAGTAAACTTGTAAAGTATTATTAGAAAGTATGATTAAAGCTGCGGAATTTTAATGGAGAATAATTACAACATAAATAACATTTAGGCACTTTTTTAAGAGGTTAATTAAATGCGTTAAGTATTATACTAAATTATATGAGGGATGTTGCGGAGTCAGCCTTTTTCATCCTCACCAAGCCGTTGCACTTTTTTTTCCAACGTATCATTATCGAGGAAATCGCGGATTCGGTTCGCGCAGCGAGTTCAAGCAATTTCGGCCCTCCTTTAACCTCGACGCATAAAATAATTCAACGCCTCGTTCGGCAAAAAAGTGTGCGTGACTTCTTGGTCGTATTCCACCCCGATGACACTTGCCGCGCGATTCCCGAGTTTCTTGGTCATCCTAGCATTGAAATATTGTCATTTGATGAATAGCGCGCGCACGCGTAGTCTGATCGAGGCATGGCGCTCACGAATAAAGAGTGGGAGAGAGAGAGAGAGAGAGAGAGAGAGAGAGAGAGAGAGAGAGACGACGACGACGACGACGACGACGACAACGACGACGACGACAACGACGACCGCGACGATGACGACGAGAGGATACGCAGAGGTATGCATGGGCATTGGCGGTGCAACGACTGTCCGATATATAATTCAATAAAACGTAGGAAACCGGGCGACATTATCTGCGCTCGCGCAAGTCAGCTCGATTAATCTCGACTCGATCTTGAGAAACGCTGGATTTATGTACGCCGACAAACCCCCGGACGTGCCGCGCCAGCACCGCCGAAACCAGTTTTTGTATGCCATATGTTCCACCGATCTCTCTCTCTCTCTCTCTCTCTCTCTCTCTCGCCTTCTTCACCTCCTCTCGCGTCCCTCTTCGCCTCCTTTTTCCAGCAATCTTTCACTTGCTCCCTCCCTCCCGCCCTTCCGTCGCTCTCACTCCTTCGGAGGTGATGCTTGCTTCTATCCTTATTGTTGACTGTGCGCGCAACCCTCCCCACAAGCGCGTGCGGACGTGGGGGATTCCGTGACGAAGGGTCCGCCGAAATATCGGGGTTCCCTCGTGCGAACTGATGAATTATGAGAGCGAAATAACAGCGAGTTTAACTACGCTCGGGCTACCGACATTTCCAAGATGGTCGAGTCGTAACCAACGTTTGGTATATTTTATAAATATCCTCGTAATATGCTTTCTTAATAAATTTTCAAAATAATTTATGTTGAATAACGGGAGGTCGCTGAGCCAATGTACCATCATGATTTAGAAAAAGATTGTCCGACTCCCTATTACGGAGTTTTGAGAAAGTACTTTCGTAGGGAAATGGAGGCGAGCGCGCTCGAATATAAATAAGAAACGTATTAAAATTCTGCACAGAATGGAATAAAAAACAATGTACGCGAGGGAATCGAGTGTTCAGGAAAAATCGACAGTTCGGAGGGAATACGAAATATGATGGTATATGGTCCAACGCTCGATAAAGACGGAAACATATAGCTTCGTATTAAGCTACGGATGAGAAAATTTTTTAATTTTTAATGAATAAATTTACTATGGATTGGATGGTAATCACGGCAATTTATAAATTTTTAATAGGCAAGTAATAAGATATCATCATTTATAATAAATATAATTATTTCACCGTGTCCTCGTTTAGTATGGCAATATCGATGCATATGTGTATTGGATTACAAGAAAAAAAAAAAAAAAAACTTATTAGTAATTATAAAAAAAAAAACCTTAGAATTCGTTGTATCTACGCTCAAATATGCACAAAATTTCACTACATAAATATTGTAATAATATTAGAATTTCATAGTCTTTGTTTATGTATAATAGTCGTTACGCATTAAGGGAACATATTATTATTATTTAAAAAACAAATATAATATTCGTAGAGTCAGTAATGTTTTTTTTTTTTTAAGAATTAAGCAATCCATAAATGTACGAATTGGTGAATTAGGCATATCAAAACAATCAATCTGTAATTTATTCACTAATAAAATATTTCAACGAGGCTCTTTTTAAGTGAATATTCACAAAAATAGATATTAATTGAAATAATATTATTCGAATTATATTTCTACTATAATAAATAATTTATGAGGTTAGGTGAGGCGTATTAATTCCACATAATCGCTAATTATGATATCAGCGATTAATTATAACAATTTTGGAGACGTATATTATTAAATATTTCGTACAGCGTAACCATTTCGCCAGCTAAGTAATTTATTGAATTACCAATTTATTTATTTTTTTCTGATGCTTCGTGGCTTTCTCGTATCATACGTAAATCACGCCTTTAAAAGCTCAAAAATACGCGCAAAATAGCGAATTATTTTCCCTCCGACCAGAAACGAAAGGTTAAATTATTACAGACATGTTATTCTCGTATTTTCTATGAAGGATCGATCAATCAATCGATCAATCCGCGAACTAATCCTGGTATTTAATATCATTAATAAATCGCCGGAATGATAAAATTAAAAATGCACGAGAGTATCGCACGACCGAAAATTCAAACTTAACACGGCCGAAATGAGCGGAAACGCAAATTGTTAAAGTTCCCAGCCATTATTACAAATATTACGGTTATTCGACTTTTATAAACAACGATGCCATTCTCGGCGTCTACTCCTTTTCTCCTTTTCTCCTTTTCTCCTTTTCTGTAAACGCATCAACGTTTTCTAAACACGCATTTAATACGCTAATGTGCTGGAGGTCCGGGCGGAAGCAATCAATAGCCACTGGACCAACGTCTGTCAATTAGCTCGGAAAGATATTATCCGGCTGCTATAAGATATAAGCCAGCAGCCCTTCTTGCCCCGAGCAATAGTCCGAATTGCGGTAAAAGTGGCGTATCCGCGAATAGCGAGCATCGACGATCCGTGGAGAAGCTGGAGGTGCCCTTAGGTACGAATCGCCACATAAAAGTGATGTCGGTGTGACGTAACAGCAGGCGAACGCGATCGCATGCCCGACTTTCCCTGCCAATCTTCCATCGATCAATTGATTCATATGCCGTGTGTCGCATTGTCAAGAGGAAACGCGTAGGGACGTCGGGTCTTCCGGGTGTCCGCGGCCGGGTCTGGAGGTCAGTGCCGAGACGTCGCCGCTGTCATCGCCCCCTCGATACCTAAGCTACCCGTAGGTCGCCGTTGAGGATCGCGACCGCGCGCGACCCTACGGGACTGACATTTTTCTAGGAGCCGGTGATTTACATACGCTGCGTTTCTTCAAAAAACGCGAATGATGTGTTGCGCGAGATAAATCACGGCGATACAATACAAAAGGTATTTGCGAGGATGCGGCAACCGAGCGACTCTCCGCTACAAATTTGTTTGCGACTAGTGGGATGGCGCTCGGCTCGTACGCCTTTGACGACGATTTTCCAGCCTCCGGGGATGGAGGCATGGTATCGCATATGGATAATGTTATCATCGACGCGTCAAGCGCCACTGAAATTTACGAATGAACCGTCAGAGTCGAAGCGGTTCCTTCCATCTCGATCAATCTCGCCTTTCAACTCAATCGTACCTAATGATTATCAAAATTTATCGCTCGTGCGATTGTCTCTACTCACTTGTACGATCCGTGGGTGTTGAGACACGAGCCAAAGTGGCACGGGTTCTTTTCGCATTCGTTGATATCCTCGAAGCAGTTTGGTCCTGTGAAGCCCTGGGCGCAAGTACACTGGTAACTATTCGACAATGATTTGCATTGCGCGTCGTTGCGGCACGGCGATGACGCACAATAATCGACTTCCTCGCAGTATTCGCCTGAAACGAGACAAAACAAGCAATAATGATCATGTAAATCAATGGAAATTTTAATTCGAATCAACGATCGGCGGCTACGCCTTGGCATTGAATTTCAATAGGTCATCGGAACATGGGCGACATGCCGTAATACGCATTAACATAAATATTATTGGAGAATTATTGACAATCAATTGCCTCGGAATATCTCGAAATTAATAATTATAAAACATATAAAATAATTATAAAAAATGACGTAGACAAGTAGTAAAGTTTGAAGGAGAGGGATTCATTGGCGTTACAATGTTCTTTACTTCCCGTTAAATTGTTGATCTAATAATAACAAATATCTATTAAAAAAATTATACAAAATTTTTCCATACCCGAAGATAAAAGTAAAACATTTTTCTTTCCCCTTTTATTTAATTCTCCGCTTTATTTCCTTTACATATCGATAAATTTAAATGGCTTCGTTCATTTTATCGATCCAATAAGATTACCACTTCCAAAAACATGGACTAGCGATTAAATGATAAAATTGCAAAGGGCCATATACAAAACTGTAGCCCTTAACTCGAATTCCTATGTAATTACGAGGAAAGGTAGAGAGCGATACGGGATCGCAAAAACTTTTCGCGACATCGTCTCAATTCAAACTTAGCCATCGAATCTAAGCTCGAAGGCCGCGCAAAAAAGTTGAAGATATCGCAACTGTGGGAGAA